TGCGTGGCTTACAGGACAAATGCTTACTTTTGATTAAAATCTTACAAATTAGAGAGCAGTTTATTAGACTGTTCCAACATTTGGATTTAGCTGGCCCATGTCCCCCCTAACCCTTGTAACAAGGTCCCTTTTCCCCTGCCCTCTGGCTGCCTCGCCTGACCTTCACCTTCAGCTTCCTCTTGTCCTTGGTGCCCCGCAGGCTTTGGTCTAATGGAGACCAGCACTGTTGTTTATCCTTCTGTCGCCCCCGCCAGCTCCCTCTCGTTCTGCTTCCTCCTGTCCTCCTGTCCTCCTGTGCCTCCTGACGTCCTCCCCAGGTTTGCCTGGGGCTGCAGGAGACACCGCAGTGGCCCTTCACACTTGTGGTACTGCTCCCTACCCACAGTCTCTGGTCTCCACCCTCAGCTGGGAATCCTGAGCCTGCACTGTTTTTCCATAAAAGATGTTTCCAGTTACCTCTACTTTCCTGAGTCTACTAACTCGTACATTTTACACATTTACATAGTAAATGCTGATTCTGAATCTTAGCACAAAGCAAACTGTAAAGGCATTGTGTTAAAATATGTTCATTTTAAGGGAAATCTAGAGTCAGACTTACAAAATGCTGTTGAAATCAAAGAAATAGATGTGGCTTAATCTATATAGATTATTTTATTAAAATGTAAGTGGAGAATATAAGGCCTTCAAAATGTTTCATACTCTGTTTTCCACATGTGGACGAACATAGGACTTTTCTTTATGGGGAGGCATTCTTCTGTCTTCTGTTTTCCACAGTCCAAGAAAACTTCTGTGTTTACTTTCAGATTTTTCTCAGTTTCCTTGAAAACATGCGAAGATTTGTCATAAAGAGGGTGGGTAGCATGTTTTAGACAGGATTCCCAGTTGCAAGCAACCAACTGACTGTGTTAAGCAGAAATGTTCTAAAAGAAAGATGGGAGAACTTTACAGTTCACTATCAAAGGACAAAGAATCCTAGTTGAAGAATGGGGTGAAGCATCTGAAAAGGCATTTCTTCAGGGGAGATGCACGGGTGGGCAGCAGACACGAGCTCTCAGCATCTACACCCATCAGGGAAGTGCGTCTCAGTGCTCAGGGAGGCGCCACTTGACACCCACAGGGGTGTCTGGAATTAAAGAGCCTGTAACAGGCACTCACCGGCATCTTCAGAAGTCGGCTCCTCGCACTGTGCCAACAGGAAGCTGAAGATCCACTGTGCTTACTTCATCCACTATGAGCAATAGAGCGAATATTTAAATTTTAAAAAATCTATTACAGTAAAGATACACTGCCACTAATCTCAGAATACCTCCCCTCGATCCAAACACTTATCCCACCCTTGGAAGCCTGGAACAGCTCTGGAAGTCCTCTCCGGGGAGTATCTTTAGTTGCTCTGCTGTGGCTGCCTCAATGTCCTGACCTTGGGAAGGACACAGAGGTCACAGAGTGCCAGGTCTGGTGACTAAAGTGCTGGAGAATCCACTGCAATGTTTGTTTGTTTGTTTTCCATTTGACAGAATTGCTGTAAATGCTTGATTAATCGATGCATGCTAGTCAAAAAATATAGTTAAGGTTTAAATTTTAAAATCTATTATAGTAAAAGACATACTGCTATTAATCCCCCTTAAAATATCCCTCTTTGATTGGAATTCTGATTCAACATTCTTGTCTTTTACTATAAGTTTTTTAAAATTTTAAACATTCATTATATCTTTCAGTCATCTCGTAACATGTCTTCCGCTTACATTAGAACTAAATCCAAACTCCTAAGGCTTAGTTTGAGCCCCAAAAAGTTTGATGCTAAAATGGTTGAGATTTCAGTTTGATCTCCATTACTGTTTCTTATTATAAGTTAGTTACCTTCTCTTCTGTAACTTTATTCAGAACCTTCAAATTATTTCTTTGGTACTGAAGAAAATCATTGAAAAAAATACATAGATTATTGAAAAACTATCCTGACCTTGGCAGGGTACAGAGAAAATTCAGATTGTAGATCTTGCTGATGTGTCTACCATAAAATGTTATGTATCTAACCATGTGTTAACAGTGATAAAGTTTAATCATCAAAACATAAAACATCACCCTACTCTCTTAAACTTTTAAAACCTTATGAAATATTTGAAAAGAGAGTTAACATAGTTCCCAATTCCAATAATTATGTCAACAGTTTGGATAGTTTAGGGTGTCTCACTGAGTGTGAATAGCAAATTAAAAATCATTACAAATTCATGAGTCTTGAGTTTTCTTCCTGAGAATTCATTTACATCACCAGGACATGCTTTTGCGGGTGGGGGTGGGGGTACCAGGGATTGAACTCAGAACCTTGCCCTTTCGAGGCAGGTGGCAGCACCACTGAGCTAAATCCCCATCCCCCACCAGGACTTCCTTCTTGGTTCTCTTTAATGAATCATCCTATGGTTTGGCTTTTGACAAATTTTCCTGTTAACAAAATGTAGATTAAAACTTGACTCCAGAGGTTTTCCATAGTCTTAAGCTTGTAGTCGATTATTTTGATAAAACATGGAAGTAAACACAATTCTAATAATTAACCAAAATTACTGTAGTCTGTTCTTTACTCCAGGAGGTAATGTTTAATTAAGTAAAAGTGCAGTTTATCCTTAATCTAGAATAAGGAGCCAGGGATTTAGCTCAGTGGCAGTGCACTTGTGGCAAACGCAAGGTCCTGAGTTCAATCCCCGGTACCAGAAAAAGAGAAAAGGTAAGTTAATCTGGAATGAGTTATTTGAACTGATGCTGATGAAGATGGGTATCTTTTCACCCAATGTTGTGATACTAGATGGCTGTATGAACAGTTTGAGTATCAGTTTTGCCACTTAATTGCCATAGGACCTTTGGAAAATTACCTGGTCTCTCTGGACCTCCATTTTGTCATTTTAAAAAATTGTTGATTTTTTCAAAAAAGAATTCATAATTTTGACAAGATGTTTCAGGCTGTTTGTACTTTAGATACTCCTACCCTGGAATCAGCCATCTCACCACAGATGCCATTTTATTTTTAAGTAGAGGAAAAAATCTTGCATAGATGAAAGTGTCAGAAACACTTTAAGGTTCATTCATTCATTCATTAAGTTTCCTTTACATGCTTGGGACTAGGTGCTCTAAATATAAATGAAATTCAGTTCACATTTCAACCGCAAGGTCAAAATAATTGATATAGTTATAAGGCTACTACGTTCAGAGATAGGCTGGAAAACTGGGAATGGGGAAATCTGAGAAGAGAATAAATTTGTTCTCACGTAGGAAAGAGGGAGGACGTTCCCGGGTTTAGCGTGACAGATGTGTGGTTTTGGGAGAGGTGTATCATAGTAGGGAACTATGAGACATTTGATTCGCTGGTCATTTGTGGGTGAGGGACCCAGTTTATTAGGAGCCTGGATTCCAGTCCGATTCGTTTAGAATTTATCCTGCTTGGAATGAAGTGACCCTAACTTTTGAGGCTGAGTACACATCCGCATGTCTTAGGAAATTTAATACTATGCCAAATTGCAGAATACAGACGAGTTATACAATTCAGAGTAACCTGGTCTCGGGCAGTGGGAATATAAACTGCAAATAATGATTGGATAGGAAAATAATTTCGAAGGGAAAATCACTTCAATGTGTTCAGTTGGATTGCCGGGACGGTGTGGGACTCTGAAATAAGACACTGCTAATTTTTGTAGGGGAAAGAACAAATAAATTTCCAGTGGAAACTCAAAGAGAAAAGGCAAGTTTGATGATACTGAAATTTTCTTTCTCTTTTTTTTCATTTTTAAATTTTTTTTAACTTTTATTTTTTAATATTTTTTTAGTTTTTGATGCTGGGGATTGAACTCAGGGCCTCAGACATGATGAGCACAAGCTGTACCATTGAGCTATACCTCCAGTTCCAATGATACTGAAGTTTTTATCTAACTCTTTTTCTATAGTAGTTGATTAAAATTCATAGAATTATTTTATAATTTTTACACAAAACAATTAAAAATTAGCGAGTTGGAGCCAGATAATATTGTAATTATTAGACAGTAAAATTTGCCGAATTTCCTAATGCTATTAGAAATAAATATTCAGTTATAGCATTAATATTTATAGTTTTAGGTATATAGCAAAATAGGAAGCTGTGGTGCTTTGATGCATTCAGCCACGTTGCCAGTTCCCGATCAGAGCTCTGAGCCGACCTCCAGGTTCTTGGGTTTGAAATGCATAGCCCTTGTCTGATATGGAAGGGAGATGTTTGTTTCCCAGCACCGCGTTTGATTCCCTTGGTATTACTGAAATTCACGTCCCTACCTCTTTTAAAACTGGCATTTTAAACTTCAGTTTTGTCTAAAGAAAAAAAAATTAGAAACTAAGAAATTAAAATCCTCAAATATTGTGACCAAAACTCTTTGCCTTATGTGAGGTGATAAAGGCAGAAGAAGGGACCTGGGTCCCAGCGTCCTACAAGAGTTGGAATGATGTTCCCGACGAGGTGTTTTGACATTTCTGAATCTTACCGTTACACATATGTTGGACTTACCGAGATCATTCTTCTTCATTGATCTAGTATGATGGGATGCATTTGCTGTCACTAGCTACTGTTTCCTCATTTCTGAGCTGGCTTACCTCCTAGAGTTACCCCAGAGAGTGAAACTTCCTTCTCTCCATGAGTTTGTTCCTGTGCTTGATAAAAGACTGGACTTCCTGATTACAGTCTGTTGGGAGAATAAAAACCAAGACCTGTCATGTAAAGGTGCAAGATCCCAATGATGACTGTAACTGTACTATTTGCTTTACATGCACCAATCAACTTAAGTAAAATCTCCAAAAAAGGGATGAGGATGTAGCTCAAGAAAGATCTGTTGGAAGGAATTATTACATGAAGTGATGTATGAACCATATAATGTGTTGGGGGTGTGCTGCTTGGGTGATTGTCGTAATTTCTGCTGGTACAGTTTTTGAAAAGGAAAATGAAGTCAGTTCTTTGTGTTGGAAAGAAGATTTCATGTTATCTGTACTTGCAGGCTTTCTGGCTCACGTGCCGGAGGAATCCTTGCTGCGGGGGTGTTTTCATTTTCTCGTCTAACATGGCAGTGGTCCATTGCAGCAGAGGTTTTTAGCTTAAACAATCTGTTTGTGGGACTGCTTATGGCTCTTACTGTACAGTTTGAGAAGGCAGAAACTGCAAAGGAGAGATCAAAGGTAACCTATTTTGATCAAAGTGAAATCATTTTTGTTTTAATTTTTAGTCAGACTTGTTTTTCCTTTTAACTTTGGGTTAGATGCTATTTATTCTGATTACTGTCAAGGTAATCCAGGCATGTTGAGAGAGAGAATGTTCTTAGTGCTTTGATTGTGAATGTCCCACAGTAGCCCTCATTGGGCATGGAACTTTTTCTCCTCAGAGTTGCCAAGTTTCTTGAGAAGGAGGGATTATGAAACCCTCTGTAAGTGCTGTACGAAAGGCAGGCTTCTCAGTTCATTGACGTGTGTGTGTGTGTGTGTGTGTGTGAGATTGTAAAGTGCCAGGCTTTAGATGGACCACCTTAAATTGTAGACCATTGTAGTTCATTGGCTTACTCACTGATGGTGAAAATGATCAAATCTATTCTTCTTTAAGAGTATTAAATGTAAAAAGTAAGACTGTACTATTATTAAAACATTTGACCAAATGAAATCCAATACAGAAAAATCATTTGAATGTTTGCTAAGAGCTTGACTTCTACACACTGAAAAATGTTAAGATTATCTTAGTGTGTGGCCACCTTCCATTCTCAAAGAATGTAGAAACCAAGGGACATTATGACTTACCTGTGATTCCCATAAACAGATCCATGATGCTGTTAGACTTTTTGTTTAAAATAGTCTTTTTCCCGTTATGTTAAAGAAAAAGGTATTTAATACATTTGGTAAAAAAAAGTGTGAGCATACTGGATTCAGCTTCAGGTTCGGGATTTCACCATAGGGGAGAGAGATCAGGCTCAATCCCAAGCACCAGGAAAAGTTAGTGCTGATACCCCAGACTTGGGCAGAGTCAGTGGGTGCAGAGTTCCTGAGTGGAGGAAGCACGGTGAAGGCGAATCTGACCCATAGGGTTCTCGTAGAAGGTGGGCCAGGTGATGAGGGCGGAGGAGTGGGATCAGACCCCAAGTGCCCAGACACGGAGGGCGAGGGCCTCTGGCTGTGCTGGCTTAGTGGTATTTCTGCTAAAGTGAACACTTCACGATGGGCATTGAGCCCTGTGTCCAGGCCTGTGTGAGAAGCGAGCCAGAGGAGCCTGCTGAGTAGGGTCAGGCAGACTGTCGGCTGTGCACTGAATGCATGTCCAACAAGGCAGAACTACTATCCAGGCTTCTAAATATCAGTACAGTCCGAGGTGCTATCGTTCATATGTGTAATAGGAAAAAAGAAGACAATTGCTGAGCTATAGCTATAAATTTTACTTAAGAAAGGAAGGGTTCGAGAGATGGGAGCAGGAGGTGTGAGGGATGGGTGGGGGTGAGGAAAGGAGTGAGGTCGTGCTGTCCATGCACCAGCTGCACACAAGGACTGTAACAATAGATTGTGCACATGTGCTGATCAATTAAAGTTGAGCAAAGAAAGGAGTCACACAGTACCCTGTTGCTGTTAGCACTTGATCTATTTATAGGACTCGCTAAGAGCCACTGGAAGGTAGTCATTTTAGATCAAACTGCAGCTGTTTGATGAGAATGTTTGGAAACATTAACAAAAAATGATGGTGATAAAAATGGATGTGGTAGAGCATAACTTGTGATCCTAGACAACCAGATACTGAGGCAGGAAGATCCTGAGTTTGAGGCCAGCCCGGAGAACATGGGAAGACCTTGTCTCAAAAAAATTATGGTGATAAATATTAGTGGCCGATAAAATATAATTATTTACATGCAAGAGGTTGATTTTGACCTGAATGATGATTCAAAATGTTTGGTTTTAATAGTGATAGTAGCTTTTTGTCATTGTGCTAGAGTGTTAGATGAATTTCTAACCAAGTTTCTTTTTCCTATTTATTTTTAGATAGCTAAAATTGGTGCTTTCTGCTGTGGCCTTAGTTTATGTAATCAGCACACAATAGTAATCTATGTTCTATGCATAATACCTTGGATTCTCTTTCGACTTTTAAAGGAGAAGGTAGGTTTTGAAATTTATCAGTGTCAATGCGTCATATTTCATGTACGTGAAGTGCAATATTTATAGCACTAGAAAACTGGGAGCTTTAATGTTTCATGGGTTTTATGTAAAGCATAAACAGCCTTTGGTCTTAACAGCAGTGACTTTAAAAAAAGAGGATGTACAAAAATTACACAATATTGATTTCTGTGGCATCTGGCCTATTTTGTAATTTTCTCCATGATTCAGAGCAGCACCTCAATGAAAATAGGATAAAAGGACATTAAACTTCCTCCGTGGTTTTCTCACACATTCGAAGACACAGGTGGGTGCCAGGAGACATCACTCACTATTTAACTGTGTGTTGGGTGCTACCCTGTGCCACGGACTCCCACCACCGTGTGCTGGGGATTTAACTCGACAAATGGTGACATCACCGCTGCTGTGAATTCATTAAGATCTCTGCAAAGTGAGTCTTTTTTCTCGGAACATGTTTCGCTAGAAGTAAAAATAATTTGCCTTCACTTCGTCTTTCTCTGAAAGAAAAATTATTAATTAAAAATGCAGTAACAAACAATTTAGGAAAATTACTTTGTTAGGCATTGAAAGATTTAGGCAAGGAAAAGGCAGAAAGTTGAGTTAGACACGAACACGTGGAGGATAAATGCCCTTTTCTCTGTTAAGCTTCCTCCTAGAGGGTGAATAATCTGTGAACAAAGCTAGTACTGGCATCTCTTTTTTGTGGAGTAAGAGCTACATTTATTTGTCATCTTATTATTTGCTAATTGTGCCTAGCTATAATCAGAAGTCTAATAGAAAACACATAATACATAGAATAAAATTAGAATATGGAAATAGGGAAATAGTTAGACCAAAGCTTTAGATATAAGGGTTGATCAAAAGACACATTGGGCTGGGGATTTAGCCCAGTGGCACCGCATCTACTTTGCAAGCGCAAGGTCCTGAGTTTAATCCCCAGTACCGGAAAAAAGAAAAAACATGCACACACACATTGCTGTCAATCCCCCTCAAAATACCTCCCCAACTTGGAAGCAGCTGCTGAAGTCCTATTTTGTGTCTTTACGAGAAATTATCAAAAATGTGGTGAATGCTGCTGCCTGCTGCTATCCAGTAGAAAGGCGGACTTATAAAAACTTTACTGTGTGTCCTCGTCTGCTCTCTTCATCAGAGCTGTCACCACGTGACTTGTGGCTCTTCCTCATAGAATAACCATGAAGGGTCAATTTTTTGCAGTGATGTAGGACATCAAAGCAGCCGTGACAGCATAACTTAAAACACTTGTGCCAAAGACTTGCACGGCTCCTCCGGGCGGGGCGAGAATAGTGAGACACATGCATTTGAAGAGCGGAGGAAAGCTGAGGGGCGGGGTGCACGGAGGTGGGTGGCGACAGCACGGCCACTGTCCTCCCAGAGACAGAACTCAGAGTTGACGGTTTAGGGCCGCTTTGCCCTGCACGGAAGAAAGCCGTTGAGGGAACTGCGACTCTTCCACTTAGCTCTTTCAGGTCCGTAAGTAGCAGAGGCTAGAGCGCAAGGTCCACAGTGAAGTCCCAGGCTTGAGGTGACGTGAGGCAAGGAGTCCTGAGCCAGCTGGTCTCAACCCTGGCTACACGCTTCATTATCTGGGAAGCACGTGTGAGCTCGTGTGTATACACGTGTTCCTGCACACACATGCACAGGCACGTGTGTGTTGTTCTGCAACTTGTTCCCTTCCCGCACTGTTGTAGTGTCATTGACTCAGGCGGCGTGAGCCCCAAAGCTTAGTCTGTTCTGCCTCCGTTCTTACTTCCAGGTGATCCCTGTGTGCAGCGAGGACTGAGCCATTCCTGCGCTCTGTAATGGCTCGTGTTTACTTCTCACACCAAAGGAAAACGCTGCAACAACCATATCTTAACAACTGTACGCATTCACTTTCCTTAAAACTAGTTTTAAAGTTAGCAAAGACATGTTAGACTGGATACTTCCTCGCTCTTTAGGGGCATCATTTTTCGTGCATCTCATTACTGCCGTAGAAATCTCACATGGAATTAGCGCTACAATAAAAACACTTCATTTTCAATTAAAATGTTTATTTGAGAATGCTAATGTAAATCTACTGGTTCTGCTTCTGGTGAATGAGAATGATGGTGCCTATATCCATTCACAAAGATTAATTTTTCTATAAAAGAAAATTTGAAATTTCCAATTGTGAAATTTGTAAGAGACCCTTTCCCAGTTATTCAACCTTTCTGTATACCAGAACTCACAGTCCTTGGGATGTAATCTTTATGAACTTTGTTGATGTGGTCCTCGGTTTCAGGAATGCACGGATCAGAAATACATTTCTCCCAAATAAGATATATGAGAAAACATTGTTGTATATAACAACATGTTTCCTTTAATGTTCCATCTTAAATATAACTTGAGAGGAAAAAACAGCTAGGTGATCTTGGAGGTTATTTATGAGCCAGTTTTCTTTGTGCCATGCATTTCTGTGAAGTGTTTGTTTGTTCACAGCCCTTGCAGGAAGAATTACATCATCGGTATATAATTGTAATAAAGGATGAACTTGGAGTCCACTCCTAATGATGGCGAAGAGGTGAACTGGCATGAGAATAGTATTTGGGGCACATTCAAAATCAGCCAAACCACACACAGTCAGCACCACATGATTATCTCAGCTGTGCAGTGCTGCATGTCATGACATGGTTTTAAATGTAAAAAAAAAAGCAATAAACACAATACTCCCGAGTCTTCTCTCATACATATTTGCTTCATTCCTGTTTCCCCTGCCAGGTAAAGGAGTTCAGGCCAATGCAATTTCCTAGTAATCCATAGTAATCAGAAGGGTTACACAGTATTCGGTAGTGACTCGATATAAATTGAAAGATGAGCTTTGAGCAAACATATTTAATGTTTTCCTTGATATATTCTTGAGGTTCTAGGATGAATCGATTAGAATAAACACTGTCACACCGCCATGTGCTCTGATGCAGGAGCTGTCCCTGGGATCCATGTTGAGGCTGAGTATGGCGTTCTCAGCTGGCTTGCTGCCTTACCTCTACCTCCCTGTGTCATCCTACCTCAACCAAGCCCGGTGGACGTGGGGAGACCAGACCACGCTGCGAGGGTTTCTGACACACTTGCTCAGGGAAGAATATGGAACATTCAGCCTAGTAAGCTTATACTTAAAGCTCTTCTCAGGAAATAAGTGGCACAATTTCAGTGCTCTGCCTGGGCCTTGAATGAAAAAAGTGTTTATCAATGACAGTAGATGGAATTTTCAACTAGTTAGTTATATAATAAACTTGTGACCCTTAGCATACCTTAGGGAAAAATCAGTCACTTGACCCAAAATCATGCTGTGTATATCCCAAATACATTTTTCAGGATGACAGGCATTAAAACTACTACTTACATTTGAAGATTTTCACTCTTGTTAACATTGGGCACTAGTGTGAGCACTTAAATAGACATACCTGGAAAGAATTGAGGCATAGAAACTTCGAAGATTTTAGTTTACCTTGACCAAAACATTTCCTTGATGAACAGTGTTCATGTTACAAATTAAGCTTGAAAACTGAAGACCTGTCTGTAAAGCTTTGTAAAATATGAGTTCAGTAAGTGGGATTAATGTGCTGTAAAAAAATTCAAAAGGCCTCACTTTCCCTGAGACATAGTCGGGAAAACCATTCCATGTAGTTATAGTAAAAGTTACCTGGAAAAGACAGACAAATGGAAGCTATTTTGGTATCGATAGCCCCTCCAGGTTTCTCATGGTTTGTATTCTGTGTGCTCCTTCAGAAAGTGAGTCTCCAGTATGCTGTTTACGACACCATTTATACAGAATTCTAACCATTGCAAACCCTAAACAATCTTCTTTGAAAATACACTCAAACATAGTCAAACTCTTATCTTTCTAAAAAGTAGGGGAATCATGTACACCAAGTTCAAGGTTACAGTTACTGCTGGGGTCTAAGGAGTGAGAGGCTTGTGGGACTTCGTGATACTTTATGGTATTGATAAGGCTTTGTTTCTTAAATAAATGGTGAATCTGTAGATTTTTTAACTCTTTGTCCCTTAAATATTTATTATGTATATTTGACATAGATATTAGATACTGTATCATAGAGATATTAGAAATTTCATAAAAATGGGTCAATAAAAATAATTATTATTGACATTTAAAAGTTTGATATTTTAAATGTATACTTTTTATGTTGATCGATCCAGATTTGAACTTTGTGTGGACTATGATGGTGCGATGAACTCCAATCGGAGTGAGCAGAATGTGTACAACGGAAATATTAAAGTCTCTTCAGTCGTTAGAATGTGTCGATCATTCCTGCTGGAATAGTTGAACTGATTTTTTAGCCAGTTATTTTTAATATTCTTCCCAATCCAAGTTTTGTGTGTACCAACTAAACATTCAGCAAGGCTTTGTGGACTTGGAAAGAAGAGAGAGATGCATCATATATTGAAAATGTGAATCTTTTAAGTGAAGATCATTAAAATGCAGGAAAGCTGCAGTTTAATGCTTATGCAAATAAGTGTTCTCTTTTGTGTTTAGGCCAAATCTGAAATAGGATCCAGTATGTCTAAAATACTGCTGTGAGTATAAAATATTTGAAACTTTTAAAATAAATATCCATTCGTTCTTTTAAATGACTGTTAAGCATTGCTGGTTTCCATGTGAAAAAGTACCTGAGCATTCGTTTTCATATCTACAATTAATAGTTGTTTGCAAATTGGTATTGTCATATTTATTCTCTCGTTTTTTCTCACTAAGATAAAGCTTAGAGTGAGCAGTAAATACAACAGTGAATAAGAATACTGGGAGAATGCATAGAGCCTAAAAAAACTAAAATGTTTCAACTTCCAATAAGATGCAGAATTACCCCAGATAGTGTTGCTTCATTAACAATTTATTCTCAGACCTGGTATTTAGCTTGAAAGCACAAGGTCATGGGTTCGATCACCGTTACCCGAAAAAAATGTTTTTCTTTGTTCTGGGTTTTATATTGTCTTTATCTTACAGAAATTTTATAACACTGTATTTTGCATAGTCTGAACATTTATTTTCTTGTTATTTTGGCTGGAACTATGTTTTTAATTCTTTAGAGCTCAGTTTATATATTAATATGTCTTTGTGACTTTGTTTAGCTGTCTTTGTATTAACTTTTGTTTTTGACTTGAATATTTTGAACAGCCAACCTTACTAGAGCCAGCCTAAGCAAGTATATTTTCATCTATATCATCTAGTAGTGTTCTTTAAAAATGGGTTAATAGTTGCTTAAAATGTACTCAGACTGAGACAAGTTGAAAATATGTGTGGCAACTTAACAGTATCCATACCAAGTACAATACTTTTAAACTCTTTTGTTTTTGTGGGTTTTTTTGGGTACTGGGGATCGAACTCGGGACCTTGTGCTTGCAAGGCAGGCAGTGGAACCACTGAGCTAAATCCCCGGCCCTTCAAACTCTTGAATAAAATTGGTTTCTTATAACACGAATGCGACCTCCCAGCTCATTCCTGGTTTGGAGCTCTCTGGGCTGCCTGGAGAAAGTGTGGGAAGAATACTTTGCCTTTTGTAGGAGGCTATTCCCGGGCTGTCACAGTTTGCCTTGAGTGCTAACTAGTTTGCTTACTTCCACTCACATTTTCTTTCTTTTTAAACAGCTTTTCCCACTCCAATGATACATATCTTTACATTACATTATTATAGATATATTATTAGTGAGATTAGAAAATAAGTAAAAATAAGAAAATTAGAATGACCTGTAACCCTGACATGCAAAGGCGCCCACTCACTATTCTTAGTTTCTTAATATTTTTCACTGTGTTCTCCTAAACTTTTATAAATATGTATGCGTGTGTTTTTGAGATAATTGCCTTGCCGAAGGTGGTGCCACATGCCTGTAACCCAACTCTCAGGGGAGGCTGAGGCAGAAGGAGCATGAATTTAAGGCCAGCCTGGGCTACCTAGGGAGACACTGACAAAAAAAATCATTCTGCACATGCTATTTTATTAGCCTACTGCTTTTTCATTTTACACCATATCTGAAAAATATTTCCCTATCAACAATTATTCTTATATAGCCTCTTGAAGATTTTTATAGTTGATTTTAAATGTTTCTCTCGTCTGACTTAAGAGTTTTGTGGCTCCTTTCATTTTTTACGGGGGAGAAAATGGCCAGCTCGGTTTCCTTTAGTTCGCCGTATTCTCTGCTCTGTGCTCTGCTCTGCCTGCCCTCCCCAGGCTGGCGCGCTACAGCACCCAGGGTTAGGGTTACTTTTACGTCAGCAAATCCCTCAGGGACTCTAACCTCTCTCCACTTTAGGTCATGCATCCAACGTGTATTATTTGTACGTAAAAGTCACCTCGGGGGGCATTTAAAGCCCTCCTTCACATGAAAATAATAGCTATTGGGTTTAATACCCAGAAAAAGACCAAACTAAAGCAGTGCCCAGTCCCATCCACACTTTGCTAAGCATCGTGTAGACCAGAGGCAGAACCCCAGCCTGAGAGTTTTCAGTCTTCTGTTATTTCAGATGGACAGGAGTGTTGAAAAAGACTAATAAGGAAGTAGGAAAAAATTCTTCAGTGATAGGACCTAATCGTCTGCCCTTTTCCAGCCAGGCAAATTAAATTCTTTCCCCATGCGAATCTGTAAATTGCAATCCTGTACAAAGGAATTATAGAATCGAACCTTAGGCGGTGACCATCTTTTAGAGCTTATATGTAAGCAACAGATCTCTAAGAATTAATTTTGAGACTGGCTTCATCTCTTTTGAAGGCATGAGCCTCATGCTAGAATCAATTTTTCATGTATATTTGCAAATGAATTAGGATAGACTCTTACAGTAGAAGAGTCTCCATTAGGAAAGTACACGTAGTGTGGTTTCCATAAGTGCGGCATTATGTTTTCTCCAGTAAAATTGCCAGTAGGTAGAAGAAGAGTCATGAAGAGGATATATAATTGTTTCTTTTTTTTTAAATCAAAGGCTGCCATAGCAATGGCTATTTTAAATAACACTTAAAGAATGCTTCCTAGTTGTTTGCTTGCAGAAAAGCATGATTGGAGATTCCCTCTCTTGGCCTTTTTTATTTTCCCTTCATGATTAACTCTCCAGAAAATGCCTCTAGTTAACTTTGTTTTTAGTTGCTAAGTTACTGGCAGCCCTGTCCACTTTATCAACAGAATAAAATTCAAAAACCCCTTTTAAACAGTGCATTAAACTGATTGGAATATCCCATGCAGTATACCAGTATTCAATACAGATTTGGGCCAGGGATTTAGTTCAGTGGTGCTGCTGCCTGCTTCTCGAGTGCAAGGTCCTGAGTTTGATACCCGGTGCCAAAAAACAAAACCAAACCTACAGATTTATTAGCGAAGTGTGGTGGTGCATGCTTATAATCCCAGCATTTGGGAGGCTGAGGCAGGAGGATCACCACAAGTTCAAGGCCAGCCTGGACTACATGGTGAGACCTTGTCTCAAAAAAAA